TTTTGTCACCATTGAATTTTAAAGTATGTAAACAAAGCCATCTTCTTTACCCATCAATGTAAATAAGGCTGCAATTATACTCCAGTGTTGATGTGAATATGGACAGCTACAATTTCTAATCAGTTTGACGTCTGCTTGAAGGACTAGTGCACATTTGTTGCCCTGGGAGTTTTGCTTTTATAGATGAGGGAAACTGGAGAGTACACAGATGTTAGCACTGAGCTTTTTGTTCGCCCTCTATAACATCTAAATTTATATCACTCAGACCCCAGCAGACATGCATCTACTAGCAGATTGCGTTAAGTGCTTTCAAATGCCCAAACATAAACATATCGTACTTTATTGACCAGGATTAATTAGTGCAGGAAATGATAACTGTTGAATTCAAAAGTCACTTTCAGAAGCCACAGTTGTCATTCAGCTGTTGCCATCATGATACGGTTTCCATTTGCTCTTCCACTAAACCATTTCAGTCTTCAAACTTACAGGCTCAGTTTCTATCCAGAGCTTTGGTCTGAGGGAGGGTGTTCCTCTTTCAATCATAATCCACAGACGTTTGCCATCTTCACTGCCAACACTTGCACAGCGTTCACCCCGAGATCTGAGGATTAGCATGGACAAGCCAGCAGAAGCAGAGACTCTTGGGCCTCCTCAGCAGGCTGGGCATTAGTAAAGAGCGACAAGGGAGCTTGGCAGGCTCCCCTAACACCCCGGCTGGCTGCTACGCCGGCGCTGCTGGCGTTGCCGCAGAGATTCAGGGCGATGGAGGTGGGGATAGAGAGAGCTGTGAAGCTGAGGGAGGTAGAGGACGAGGCAGTGGGGGATTATCTCACTGCAAAATGCACTACATGGAGGCCCAGATGGACCAGTGGGCTGTGGTTTGCTGCGATGCCAAGTGTGTGTTACCGCAAACACATATAGATAAAAATACATGCAGACAAAAGCAAAATCTTCCATATCAATGAGTGCATTTATTATTCAACACCTCTTATTAGGTGCTTTGAACCTAAACATGCTGCATAATGAAATGCAGTATATGCATAAACACTCCCACTGGGACGTGTGTCTAATGCACAGTTTGCACATTGCGCCGACACATATCACAAATAGGTTCTGTGGAGGGATGAGAGACTGTAGGGGGTGATAGCGGTGGGTGTCTCCATCTGTTAATCTGAAATGCTCAAATAAAGCCGAAACTATAAATGTCTGTGCTGATTTCAACATACAGGAAAGGGGGAGCTCATAGGTGTAGCTGTGCTTTGCTCACTTTCTGGAACGACATCAGTCGAGTCGTGAAATGCGCACCTCCCAGAACTTCAGAACTCCACTTCATCGGTTAAGCATGAGTGCGAATTCGTAAATAAGACGACTCCTTTTTGTGTAACAGATAGAGAGGATTGCATCCCAAGGCAGCGCACTGTTGTGTAACATTGAGGCAATCACAAGAAATGACACCTCCGCAGTTGCCGAGTGTTTCAGCAGGGACGTACGACACAATGCTGTTCTTCAGTTAAACAGCCAAAAGGTAGATAAAATCAAAACATGAAGCCATACAGACGTGTAGACAGATAATAGCCTAAGATTAGAAACTGTGTGACAAAAGAAGCTTCGGTTTAGTCGGTCCCAGTGACAGCAGGATTTAGCCCCTAACTAATGTGGCAGAGCTGCTTATCGATTATAGTTTGATTAAAGGAGACCTATTATGCTTTCATGTGTTTTCTGTCATTTACATACTGTTACAGGGGTGGATGCTCATATTAGACAAGATCAAAGACGCAATTGAGTCTCAAATGTGTTTGAAAGCAGCAGCTGTCCAGAGGAAGGCTGGCTTAAAGAGAGGGGCAAGGGAACTTAAATGGCTTGTTTCAGAGAGAGCATGAGGCATTTACTCAAGTGACTTTACATTTTGAGTGTCTTCAATTTTTTTAATCACTTGTCTAGTTAAATGCTTAAAACAAAAAACTAGAGAATTTGAATTGAGGACAACAATAATGTAGATTATTTTGAAACGTTAATCATGCACAGCTACTCTAGTAAATTCCCAAGTATACAGGGCCAGAAATTAGAAGTGAGCAGGAATAAACACGAACCCACAAAGTACGTGTTTTTAGCCAATTACTGGGAAGTGATAAACGCTTCAATATCATTCATCCAGCATTTGCAATATGAAATGAGTCACAGTGAAGTAGCCCGGGTTACATCAACATAGTAGCAGCTACGGCGTTTCACAGTTTGAAGTTTTGACCTTTAATTATCTTAATTATCATTCCCTCATTAGGCTTTTCTGTGTAATTTGTAGGGATAGGCGTGCGGTGGGTCTCGTGTCATTTGGACTTAAGAGTCTTGTCAAGTGTGAAAGCTTTGTGAAGTTTTGAAATTTTGACCTTTAATTATTGTTCCCCCGGTGGACCAATTAGTCCTATTTAGTTAAAGGGGTGTATTCACACAAATAACAAAACTGTTTATTTATTCAACTGACTAAAATGATGTGCAGCCGTGCTGAAGCTTTTGGTTTTATATGCCAGGACTTTGTGAGTATTACATTTTTAAAAATGCCTATCACCTCTTTTTAGAAAAGATAGTTGTATCCTCATTACTCAAGAAAACTCTTGAAACTTTATGTGTGATTTTTGGATATAAAGTTGTTGTTACAGATATATTTTGTTTAAAATAGGGCTACTGATTTGCCGGTAACATTTTAATCATGATCACATGTTAATCTGAGCTGTGTCAGTGCTGTTGGGCTTGAAGATAACATGTTGACCTCCTGATGGAGGAGAACCTTTAGAACTGCTTCTAATCAATAGGTCTTTTGTGTTCTCCTTGATGATTGAGTGCAATGATGCTACTTCCATGCAGTGGTACTCATGTGTCCCTGCTTTCCCAAAGTGTTCTCATCATGTAGTGATATATATCGCCAGTTTGTCAGAACCAATTCACTACTTGAAAAAAAACAGACTATCTTTGCATCTCTGTGGAAAAATAAAAAAAAGGTTTCAGGTCTTATCATCACATTTCTGCGCTCTTTCCCCAGATTCATTTATTTTTCACAGCTCTGAAGTCATTTACATGATTTTTCCTTAACACATCTTTTCCGTCTTAGCTTCAGCGCATGATGGTAGCCATGGAGAACACTTACCGTCACCTCTCCGCAGCCGGTATCTTGGCCTCTCCTTTGTGTCCGTGCTGCTGCCTTTGTTATTATTATGAGATGCTGAATCCTCCTCTGTCAGTGCCTCACTTTGTTCTGACACAGGAGATGCTGCAGGTGAGACCTCCTCCACCCCTGGCCCTGATTCATTCCCAGTGTTCTCACTTTGATTTTTCTCCCCACTTGGTTCTTCTTCCCCAGCCTTGCCAGAGCCTTCATTCTCCACCACATCAGCTCCAGCTTGAGGTTCTGCATGATTGGTGGGGCTTGAGGGGTTTGAGGGGCTACAGCTTCCCAGGGAGTCAAGCACAGAGCAGGGGCTGGAGTGCAGAGACAGAGAGGGGGTGTCGGGTTCTCTGATCCTGGTACACGGGGCTCCGTATGGTTCCTGGACAAATCCTACAAACATCACCCCTTGGTCAGCGGCATCCTGTATCTGCTGTTGGGAGCAAGGACAATGAAGAAAAAATATTAAAAGCCAGAATGATGACAACAAATGATTTACAGTGCCTTATTTTTGGTTAAATTCAAGTAAAAACAATCAGTGATTTGACGGAAAATAAATCAGATGCTGATTTATATCAGTATTATTAAGGCAACAACATGTAATCATAACAAAACATTATCTTTTTGAGGTTCTGGAACCCTGGTGGTACCAAATCTGAAGTTATCTCTATATTTGTGATCACAGGACATAATTTTTGGTTACATCTCATCACAGAAACTGTTTTTATCAGACTTTTATTTTTAGTTATGACTCGAAATGAAACCTTGAAAAATGCCAGAGGCTAAGTCAGCAGGCTAATTATTCTAATGTTTAACATGCAAGATGAAGATGTCCACTCGTAATTTCATTGACATTTTGGAAGCTACAACATGAGTCAGCTGATCAATTAAGTTATCTGCAGACTAATTAGTGGCAAAAATAGTTGTTTTAGCCCTTGAAATGTCTTGAACAGTATCCAGTGATCAGGGTCCAGATTAAGAACAAGGAGACCCCCAAACAAATCTTTCCCAAGAGAGCTGAAACTAAACTTCAGGAGTTGGTTTGAAATCAGATAACTTGAATTGATAGTTTTTTTCTTTCCACGGCTTCATGGAGTTGTTTGCATCTGTTAAATTTTTGTTTTTCCTCTTTCTTCACTTCTCTTCATTCCTTTCCGGCAGCTTTTCCAATCACAGTTTTGATTAGATTGGAACAGCCACAACCCTGTACTCAGACCTGGGCCACATCCCAGATTCAGCGCTCTATTGTTTTCTCTGTCTTGTTGTTTTCTGGCCTTTTATGTCAATATTGGGGTTCTGCAACAGAGCGAGATTGAAACGTTAACTGTCAGGGAATGTTAATGATGCCATTCTCCATTTCTCCCCCGGTCCACCAACCAACCCCCTCTCCAAGCCAAGGCGGCGCCCGTCTCTATCTCGAGTAACATTGAGGGAAGAAAATAAGAATCAAATTGCAGGTTATTCACTATGAAATTAAATTGGAAAACAGTCACATTGTTTCCAGCCATATTGTTTAATATCAGCTGAATGCTCTCTGTGTGCTTCCACATCATATTCCCCATACCAATATGTTGAAATGGAATTGCTGAGATAAAAGAGAGCAACTGGTGTATCTCATTTAATGGTAATGCAGGCAGTCAAAGAGAGAAATGAATGGCTCTGACTGTATAATGTCGGTGCAGTTGATAGAACAGTAGATTCAAACAGCAGGCTGTAATGATTGAATTTATTTTTGGTGCCATTATTATTGTTATCATCATCATTTCATTAAACCCCTTGCTTGACAATGTAGAACCATTCAGATTAGATTTCTTTCTCAAGAGACATCTTGACAATAGACCACCAGCATCGGGACTTTTGTTAAGACTGCAGATAACCACAAAGATAAATGACAAAATGAGAGTCGCAAACAGTGCGTTCACACAACAGCAGCAGAGCCAAAGCAACGCATGCACGAATAATGTCAAAAAGAGTGAAAAAAGAGTCGTTTCCTTTCACTAGAAAATCAAAACTGCAAACATTTGCTTGCATTGCATCCTTATATCAATTATTTGTCTTTTCCCCTCCTTTGTGTTGCAGTCCAGCTGCTCTTTATTTCTGTATGGGCTCCTCACGTGCATATACAATCTTTGTCTTTTTCTAACAACACAAGTGCTTTGAACACAAATGTTACCATGCTACCACCACTTTTAAGGTGTATACAGTGTTGCTGGGGTTAGCACCAAATCACAACAGCAGTCACCTCAGGGCTAATTTATATTGTGAGGTAAAGACCCTACAGTAAGACAACATACCACAAATACTGATTTGCGCGAGTCCTTGGTTCTTGCTCTATTGTGATTGTTCTCATCATTAGTTTCAGTTTTTGTGTTTCCTTGTGTCATCGCTTTTGTTTGTCTTACATTTTATTTCCTCCTGATTGTTTTGATTGTCTGCACCTGAGTCTTATTTCTCTCACCTGTCTCTTGTCTATTAAGTCCTCTGTGTATCGACTTGCCCCTATATTGCTGTGCTTTTATGTTTCTCTGTGTGCTCTATGATCTCTTGTGGGTTTTGGGTATTTTGTTAGTTTATCATTCTGTTTACAGTTTAAAATAAATGCTTCATTTTTGTTTGAATGCCTTCAGTGTCCTTAGCTGCACATTCTGACACAATAAAACGAAAACCTGACAATGTAAACAGATGCAAAGTCAGAAGATCACAGGTTACATCTCATCATTTGAAATACTTAAACAAACAAACAAACACAAAAACAGTCAACCTCACATTATTACTAGAGAATTACTCAGCTCATTGGGGGATAGGTCTAACACTGTTTCCCTAGAGCCAAACAAATGATACACCAGCCAACCAACCGGAATACTGAATTACCATTATTTTCCTAACGTGGGAAACACATTGTTAACCTGGACACTAAAACTACATTTTGAGTTTCAAAAATGCCTTCAAACTTGTGGGGACCAAAAGCCTGGTCCCCACAAGTATAGTAAACTTCCATTGACATAATGCTTTCCCTAGCCCCTTACCCTAACCCTAACCATTAAAAATGCCTAACCTAAGCAGAAGCTTAACAGGAGCCTGTCACGTTCCTGGGTCTTTTGACCCAGTGTTTTGAGCTCTAGTTCATTTTTGATGTTTATGGTTTATGTTTAATTTCTTTAGGTCAGCGAAGTTCTTTTGGTTATTAGATTCCTCTTGTATTTTCTTCCCCTGTATTTAAGTTTCCCTCACTCTTTGTCTATGAGGCTGTTTTGACTGTGTGTCTTATGTTATCAAGTTTGTATTGTCATGTCTGTGTCGCATGTTTCCTGTTTTATTTTGAAGGTCTGTGTCAGTGTAGTCAGCTTTGCTTCCTTTGTCTCGTTCTGTCAGACTAGTGTCAGCTGTTTCCCCATGTGTTTCTACTTCCCCTAATCACCCGTGTGTGTTTTTAGTCTGTGTGTTCTGGTCATTCTTTGTCAGGTCGGCTGTTGTTCACGCCAAGGTTTCCATGTCATGTTTCACGTCTAGGTTTTTCTTGTTGTTTATTTAGTTCTCCCAGTTTAGGTTGATGTTAGTTTACTTTAGTTTGCCTTTTCTTTGTACCTTTTTTACCAGCCTTATTAAACTGCTTGCTTTTTGTTAATGCTCAAGCTTTGGTCCAAGTTCCTTCGTGTCTGCATTTTGGGTCCACTCTTCACAATTAATACAGTCTGCCACCACCAGACTGTGACAGAGCCTAAAAGGAGAGTCTGGATGATCCAGCGGCCCCTAGGACCGTTTTCATTTCATTTCAATTCATTTATTTATTTATTTCACACTTGGTACAACAATTCAAACAAACCAACCACACTTTCTATCAAAATAACAATACAACCATGTGTGAAAAGGAGCAGGAAGAAGAAAATATTCTTATTAAACCCT